TTTAATCTGCTTGACATGCTAAATATGATTACATCAGTTCTGTTGTAATAAATAATATTTACCTTCAAAGTGATAATTGCCATTTCTACCAACACTGATCTTTAATCTGGCTCCATTTGGTAATTCACAACTGATAGTAGAAGTATTATCAGGTGATTGTCGGCTAGCACCAAAAATAATTCTCATAAAATCCAACATTTGCTTGAAATCCTAAAACAACAGAATATGTTAGTTAATTAATTAAACAGGCTATTTAAACAAGCAGCCTCTCGGCTGAGATAGCTCCACTGTTAGCAATGCACATTTCAATTAAGAACTAAAGATATCATTAGAAAATGAACAATATGTATAATATCAATGCAATCGGACTAGCTGTTTGAACAAGAAGTTAAAAATATCACTTTTTAGCAAAAATCACAAAAATATTCATCAAAATTAGAGAATTAAAGATATCATTATGCAATTAACAAATCTGAGTGAGGTCCACATATGGTACCTATAAATGTAATATCAAAGTAATCAGACTTGCGGGTTTTTACAAGAAGTCAGAAATATCATTTTTTACCAAAAATCATAAAAATATTCACCAAAAATAGAGAATTTGAGATTTTGACATGAAATGAACAAATCTGAGAAAGAACCATCCAAGGTACTTGCATATCAAATTTGAAAACATTCTGACTTGCGGTTTCGAAGAAGAAGTTGAAATTGTAAAGTTGATGACGCCGGACGACAACGGGCAATCAGTAAAATGAACAGCTCTGCTGTGTTGACTTTGTCGACAGTGGAGCTAAAAACTTATAATAGGTTAATACCATTCAGGTATTTTCAGTATGCAACATGTACCTGTCAGTATAAGAAAAGAACAGAAAATGTATTTACCTGAGAAAATACAATCATATTATCAGGTGAAGAGGTGACGCAAGATCTACCATCATGTTCAAATGACTGAAGAGCTGTGAACAAGAAAACAGATATTTACACATGTTCAAATCTCCACTCAGACTTTATACTGCTGGTTTTGACAAGCTGCTAGAGGCTACAATTATTATAAATTACTTAAATGATTTACTTTTACTTACCCATTTCTGGTTGTACGACTGTTTTAAATACTGGTAGCAATGGTTGGGGAATTTTCACAATGTCACTTTCTGTTGTATGTTCAGGGAGTTCTTGGGGCTTTTCTTTCTCAGACGGATGTTCAGGGAGTTCTTGGGGCTTTTCTTTGTCTGATGGATGTTCAGGGAGTTCTTGGGGCTTTTCTCGAGCAAGTAACACAGCGATCTATAACATTTTTTATAAGAAAATGGTTACCTTTTGTAGAATTTACACAAACTACTCAACATGATTCTACAAAGTGTTTCGGTATAGCACTGTGTACATAACTTTGCGTTCAAGGATGACGAGGGGGAGTCGCCTGTAGCAACGCCACCCCCGTCTCGAGGTGACGTCATATAGGGGTTTGAATATCACTACATGGAAAAACTAAACACAACTCACCCAACTAGCAGTAATCCTGGAAACGCACTCCTGTTTCTTTTCTTCCCGAGTTCGCTCTACAGATCTTCGCTGAACACGCTTTGTGGAGCGACGTCGAAATTGTCGTCCGCCCATTTTTAACTGTACTAACAATGACTGGAAGTGAGTCTACCAAACAGCCGTTAGTAAAGGTATTACAAGATGTCGATTTGATAAAATATAGAGGGATATACAGGGAGTTGATAATTCGAGATACTGTGCGCCGCTGTCTAAAACACTTCACACAATGTTGATGTGTCGAACAAGCTCGAAGTTCTTGGCATTCCATCCTGGCAACCATTCTTGATCGCAACATCCTATCGCTGAACAGCGCCCTCAATGTACTACTAATATTATAACGCACAGTCGTCACGTACTTTGTAGTACCGCAATACAAACAAGGCTACCCAGACTAGCAAAGTCGGGAATTTTTTGTTTTATCTAAAATATAAATATTAAATCCTCATGGCTTGTTCACCTATTATCTCACCCACATTTAAACATACTCTGATTTCATAGAAATATAATAAATTAAAAAGTTGGGGGTCACCAGCCAAAATTCGGGGAAATGATGGTTGTATTTTAGTTGATAGTGGTCATTTTGTCAGTACAATAACAGTTTTAGCAGGAGGAAAAGATATTATGACATACCTTGACATGATTTGAATGACGGGCTACTTTTTGTTGCTGCTCTGAATTATTTCAAAAATTTGTGTTTTTCATTGACATTGTGGTATCTGGAATTCTTCTAAAAAAAGGCATTTTTTGTGAAAAAATATTACGTTTCTCAAAATACATCACCAAACAGACTGGTTTCAATTTTATTTCCAATAGCACGACTATTGCAACATCGACTATACAATGGGAGGGGGGGTTGTCAATTATCTGTTTGAATCTTATCTGCGTTTGATTCAACAACCCGAGAGCATTAACTGGGTTATTGTAACATTGACAGCGACTTTCCGAGAGTAGTTGCAAGTTACGCATACGTGTGGTGCTGGTATAGCTGGAACCATACATGTTCACAGTGTGGTTCTGCTACTGGTATAGCTGAAAGCATACATGTTCACAGTGTGGTCTCGGTCTAGCTGAAACCATACATGTTCATAGTGTGGTGCTGGTATAACTAGAACCATACATGTTCACAGTGTGGTGCTGGTATAGCTGGAACCATACATGTTAACAGTGTGATGCTGGTATAGCTGAAACCATACATGTTCACAGTGTGGTGCTGGTCTAGCTGAAACCATACATGTTTACAATGTGGTGCTGGTATAGCTAGGACCGTACATGTTCACAGTGTGGTGCTGGTATAGCTGGAACCATACATATTCACAGTGTTATGCTGGTGTAGCTGAAACCATACATGGTCACAGTGTGGTGCTGGTCTAGCTGGAACCATACATGTTCACAGTGTGATGCTGGTATAGCCGGAACCACAAATGTTCAGTGTAGTGCTGGTACAGCTGAAACCATACATGTTCATAGTGTGGTGCTGGTATAGCTAGAACCATACATGTTCACAGTGTGGTGCTGGTATAGCTGAAACCATACATGTTCACAGTGTGGTGCTGGTATAGCTGGGACCATACATGTTCACAGTGTAGTGCTGGTATAGCTGAAACCATACATGTTCACAGTGTGGTGCCGGTATAGCTGAAACCATACATGTTCACAGTGTGGTGCTGGTATAGCTGAAACCATACATGTTCACAGTGTGGTGCTGGTATAGCTGGGACCATACATGTTCACAGTGTGGTGCTGGTATAGCTGAAACCGTACATGTTCACAGTGTGATGCTGGTCTAGCTGAAACCATACATGTTCATAGTGTGGTGCTGGTATAGCTGAAACCATACATGTTCACAGTGTGGTGCAGGTATAGCTGCAACCAAACATGTTCAAAGTGTGGTGCTGGTATTGCTGAAACCATACATGTTCACAGTGTGATGCTGGTATAGCTGGAACCAAACATGTTCAAAGTGTGGTGCTGGTATTGCTGAAACCATACATGTTCACAGTGTGGTGCTGGTATAGCTGAAACCATACATGTTCATAGTGTGGTGCTGGTATAGCTGAAACCATACATGTTCACAGTGTGATGCTGGTATAGCTGAAACCATACATGTTCACAGTGTGGTGCTGGTATTGCTGAAACCATACATGTTCACAGTGTGGTGCTGGTATAGCTGAAACCATACATGTTCACAGTGTGTTGCTGGCATAGCTGAAACCATACATGTTCACAGTGTGGTGCTGGTATAGCTGAAATCATACATGTTCACAGTGTGTTGCTGGCATAGCTGAAACCATACATGTTCACAGTGTGGTGCTGGTATTGCTGAAACCATACATGTTCACAGTGTGGTGCTGGTATAGCTGAAACCATACATGTTCACAGTGTGTTGCTGGCATAGCTGAAACCATACATGTTCAAAGTGTGGTGCTGGTATTGCTGAAACCATACATGTTCACAGTGTGGTGCTGGTATAGATGAAATCATACATGTTCACAGTGTGTTGCTGGCATAGCTGAAACCATACATGTTCACAGTGTGATGCTGGTATAGCTGAAACCATACATGTTCACAGTGTGGTGCTGGTATTGCTGAAACCATACATGTTCACAGTGTGGTGCTGGTATAGCTGAAACCATACATGTTCACAGTGTGTTGCTGGCATAGCTGAAACCATACATGTTCATAGTGTGGTGCTGGTATAGCTGAAACCATACATGTTCACGGTGTGGTGCTGGGCTAGCTGGAACCATACATGTTTACAGTGTGGTGCTGGTATAGCTAGAACCATACATGTGCACAGTGTGGTGCTGGTATAGCTGGAACAATACATTTTTGTTTTTGTTGGACGTTCAACCGAACTTTGAGTTATGGGAAAAATAAAACGTTAAACAAAACAAAAAATTTATGCTGCCCATAACTTGAAATGTGGTCAACTGTTTTTTAAAGTATGGGTCACTAATTTGGGCATGGTTTCTCATAATTGGGAGTGTTTTCTAAAATATGAGTGTGGTAATTTTTGTAACCATGTTTTCAGCATCTTGGACTAGCTATCTCATACAATTCAGCCTGATTAAGACACAATATTTTCCACTGGTTTTTCTTTCTGCTTCTCACAGAAACATTTAAAGATTAGTTGCAGGAGTCTACAAATAACACTGTATAATTATTAATTTGGTCCCTAAACAAAGGCAACTCAACAGAAATATTGATTGATCACATAAGATGGTTTTTATAGATTATGCTATAGGACTGCATAAAAGTAGACACTCAAGGCAAGTTGACACTAATAAAGATTTCACTGTAATAAATAATCAGGACCATAACAAAGCATTAGTGGAGTGATGCATATGATTGTAGATAAAGAATTGGTTGGTTATCAAGTTGGAACACAAGAACATCACAATGCAGTAGTATGGATTACATATTTTAATAAGTATATAATTAAAATTAATTACAAGCAGTCTTTATAGTGTCACTGAGTCAGTAGTACTTTCTACATTGTTTTCAACAGATTCTTCTAGTGATACACTTGTCCTAGATTTTTTGAAGAAACGATGAATACGCTTCTTGAGAGAAGGTGATTTACGTTGATTCTTATTTTTAATTGATTGATCAGCTTTGTGTGAATTGGAGCTTTCTGCAAATATTTCCCGGGTGTCTGGTGTGCGGTGCTTTGTTGTTGATATACATGATGGACGGAGGCATTTTCTTACCCTGCAGAACAAACCATGTTTCTTGGCAGGTAATATGCTTTGGAGAGATGTTTTTGAAGAAGATAGACTTATATCTTCAAACGCCTTGGCAGATACATCAGTATGTGAAACACTTTCTACAGATGAATTACCACTGTCTTTATCTGTACTCTGTGTAAATTCAGCACATGAATTTACACTCTCTGAAAATTGGTCAGAAGAATCCATACTCTCTTCCAACATGTGTTCAGATTTCCCACTGTCTGCACCAGCACTTTGAGCTGCCATATCTACTGCAAGTGGGCTATCCCCACCGTCTGCAACAGCATTTTGAGCTGTCATATCTACTGCAAGTGGGTCTTTTGCACTGTCTGCATCAGCATTTTGAGCTGCCATATCTACTGCAAGTGGGGCCATCACACTGTCTGCACCATCACTTTGAGCTGCCATATCTACTGCAAGTGGGGTCTTCCCACTGTCTGCACCAGCACTTTGAGCTTCCATATCTACTGCAAGTGGGGTATTCTTCTGTCTGCACCATCACTTTGAGCTTCCATATCAACTGCAAGTGAGGTATTCCCACTGTCTGTACCAGCACTTTGAGCTTCCATATCTACTGCAAGTGGGGTATTCCTTCTGTCTGCAGCAGCAGCATTTGGAGCTGCAATTTCCTCTGCGAATGGATTTCTAATTTCTGATATTTGGTCAAGAGCTTCCATACTTTCTCCCAACAGATTGTCAGTGTCTACAGAAATATGTAGGTTTGTGGTCCTTATACTCTCAGCAAGAGCGTTAACATTAGTTGAATCTAAGTTCTGATTTAGTAGATCTTCTGCATAGGGGCCAAAAGGTTGAATTCCACCTTGAAATGGGTTAACAGTCAACAAACCCTCTGGAAATAGGTTGAAATATGGCATATAATACTGTGGAAATTGGTTTACAACATCCATATACACAAACACACGGACAGTTGTGCTCTGTGGGTTTACACCATCTACATTGCCTGGAAAGTTTTCAGCATCTGAAGATAGGGATAATGTTTCTATGGTTTCTGCAAATGGCTCTATTTCATCTACAGACTGTTCTTTAGAGTTCAGAGTCTCTTCATCATGACATTCACCTTCTGTCATAAATGCATCACATTTGCCATTTTTAGTAGTCTGAGCAATCTCAGTGAAGAGAGTAACAGGCTGTGCAGATGGTTTTAAAACATGTAGTTCATCTGTCACACAGTCAACTTCTTGTATCTTAGCTTCTGTTGACAAACTATCTCCTCTGTCTGTCATTTCCATTATAGTTTTTGCAGGTTGTTCAATCTGCAAACGTTCATACACGTTATGCTTCAATGTTAGCATTGTAGTATCAGACTCAGAGCAGACAGCATTTCTTGCTTTCAGCATTCGAACTGTGGTTTTACTCTGCAAAAATATAAATATATAAAATGATTATAATAAGTACCTATTATGACATTGTATATGCTATGATAATTACAACATTATGAACATTATTATTGGAACATTTGAATTCTGTATGTTATGAAAATATTTAATTCTGTATGTTGATTACCCCCGCATTACAAAAATATTAAATTTACAACAGGATTTTGTACATTATAAGGCCAGTAACCACATTACAATTAAATTTAAATAATAATGATATGTCATCTTTCATCTCATTGATATTATGAGGTTATTGTCAGGATGCTGCAATATAGGCACAAAGACAGTACAGTGGGAGTAATGGTAGACACATAGCAGAGCTCGATGGGACCATGTACAGTTTAAACTTTGCGGTATTCTTGTAATAACCATATTATTGTATATCATCCCAAACCAACCGCTGTATAACCAACATTATGGTGATACATTGACTAATGTATAATAATAATCATTGTTATTAAGGATTATTAGTAACAAGTCATTGTTAATGACATAGTCCCAGTTTATTTCCCCAATTAAGGGGAAGTGTTATTCATGCCAAAAATAAAGTAATATGCTCCAACAGCATAGTTAATAATTTAGAGTGAATAATTGGCTGGTCTAGTATTAACAGAAATTAAATGACTCTAAAATTGTAATAATCGTAATGGTCAGAAATTAAACAGGATATGCTATTATTGCATTTTCTGTATCCAAACTGAATTTCATTCGTCCAGGCTCATGTACAGAGATATAAAACACAAAACGAATTATCATGGACCTGTATCTCAACATTTATAATTTTTGTATCAAATTTGGAAATCAACAAATCCTGTCCCGGATACCACATTTTCAAAAAAACAAGATGGATGCCAGTCAGCCATCTTTGATCTGATTATGGAACAAACTGACATGAACATGTATTCCTATAAGTATGATGTATGTGCCAAATATGGATGACAATGATCCATAAGCCTTGGAGATAAAGTCGTATGGTCAAAAAGCAAGATGGCAGACTGACTTTGATCTGATTATGGAACAAACTGACATGAACATGTATTCCTATAAGTATGATGTATGTGCCAAATATGGATGACAATGATCCATATGCCTTGG